CATAGCAGAAGAGCATGGTAGAGGAAAGCAGCTTAGAACATGGTGACCAGGAGGCAGAGAGAGAGAGGGGAAGAGGGGACAGGGAAGACGAACTCTTCCAGGGCACACTGCCCAGGGACCCACCCCTTCCAGCCATGCCCCCGCTGTTTGCAGTTAGGAGCCAGCTGGTCCACTTGAACCAGGAGGCACTGTGGGTTTATGGCTCTCATCCTCTGATCCCTGTACCTCTGAGTAYTCCTGCATCAACACAGGAGACTTTGGGGGACACTTCCTATCCAAACCATAACAAACGCTACATTAAAAAAAAAAAAAAACTATGGCAATTAAAAGGTTGGGAATAGAACATGAATAAAAACAAAYGAAACGGAACAGAAATTCCAGAAATATGCTTTACTGTAAATGATGAATCAGCATAGGACAAAAGCAACTTCTCAATTTAGCGGAGAGAAAAACGAGATAAATTCATGATCAAATTCAGAATACTCTCTTACTAGCCACATTAGGAGGCTATGAACCTTTCAAATCTCTAGTCTGAAGATGAAAAGTAAAAATGACCGACAATGACTACAACTACAATAAGTCACTGAGCAAAACACAAAATAAAAAGATACAAATTATTATAAAATTATAAATYGGTGGGGAGTAAAAGTCTAGAGTATTTGTATTGAACCAAAGCTAGGATGTTATCAGTTTTAAAGATCAATGACAACTATGAGGTTTTTTTTTTTTAACTTAAGCTCCACAGCCACCACAATAAAAAAAAAAATTACAGCAGATAGATACACAAATGAGAAAGAGAGAGGAAACAAAGGTTAGCATTATAGGAAACCACCCAAACCATGCAGGCCAACAACAAGAGAGGAAAAAGGTACAAAAGACCAATAAGACAATTAGAAAACGACTGGGAAAATAACAGGAGTAAATCCTTACATACAGTAATAGCCTTGAATCTAAATGAATTAGAATTGCCAATTAAAAGACATAAAGTTATACACACACACACACACACACAAAATGCGGCCTAACTATGTATTTCCTTCGAGAGCCTAAAGGCAGGGGGATGGGAATAGGAAAGACGGAGGAATGAATTGCTCATACCTTTCTGTGCTCATACATGATACACAGCCAGTGTAACTCACTCCACATGATGGGCAACCGCAAGAATGGGAATCAGTTGGAATGGGCTGCACTCTATGTACGTATAACATGTCAAAACACACCCTACTGTCACGCACATCTAAAAACAATGAAGAAGAAAAAGGAGACTAACTTCACCTGAAAAAATATACATAGACGGAAAATGCAGGCCTGAGAAAAATATTTATGCACCCAACATTGGAGCACCCAAAATATAAAGCAAATGTTATTGTATCTAAAGGAAGAGACAAAAAAAAAAAAAAAAGAAAGATCAAGGAAGAATCAGACTGTAATACAATGATAGTGGGAGACTTCCACCCACATTTTCAGCCATCGGAAGATCACCCAGACAGAAAATCGACAAAGGAATATCATATTTAAAGTGCTCTGTATGCCACCTGGATCTAATAGATACGTATAATACATTTTCACAAAAGCAGCAGAAAACACGTTCTTCCTAAGAACATGCGACATTCCCCAAGATGGACCATATGGTAGGCCACAAAGCAAGTCTCAACAGATTTAAGATACAAAATAATTTCAATATATTTTCTACACACAATGGTATGGAACTAAAATGCATTCCAGGATAAACTCAAAAACTCTGCAAATTTTATAAAGAAAATTTTAGGGGGTTAAAAAAGAAAATTTTTAATTTCTTGAGACAAACAAAAATGAAAACACAACATAGAAAATCCTATAGGATACAACCAAAGTAGTTTTAAAAGAGAAGTTTGTTTGTTTTTTAGTACCAGGGATTGAACTCAGGGGCACTTGACCACTGAGCCACAACCCCAGCTCTATTTTGTATTTTATTTAGAGACAGGGTCTCACTAAGTTGCTTAGAGCCNTCAGTGATTAAACATCCCTGAACTTAATTCCTGGTTGAAAAAAAAAAAAGTTGAGTAAACTTCAATGTTTAATTCCCAGAGGCCCTGAACTCATCCTTGTAATGGAGTCAGGTCAGATTTTAATGACAGAGGGCACCAAACATGATAGAAACCTGGTTCGCAGTAAAACACGACATAGCTTCCTGAAATCTTGACTTGTGCATCTGCCCATGGTCCTGCTGATCATGGGAAAGGGAGACTTGTGGCCTCCATCAGTTGACCTTGCTTTGATTTTACCTGGGTCCAGACTGACTTGGGACCATGGGGTGTAATCCAGTGGTCGAGAATGTGCTTTGCATGAGCAAAGCCCTGAGTTTGATCTTCAACACATACAGAAAGGAGAGAAAAGGAAAGGAAGGGATAGTTACGTTGAGGATTTCCTATACAGACGCTGGGTTTTTTTTTTTTTTTCTTTTTCTTTTTTAAAAGAATGAGAGGGTGGTTTCCCAGGCAGCTGCAACTTGCTGATGTGTTCCTATTTTCTTTCCCTGGTAGCAGAAAGATGATTGTGAACATTAGTTAAGATCCGTGAACTTTGCCTTGGGTATCTCTATTCTAAGAAGTGGTCTTGGATACCTACTCTTTCAAAATGACCTCAATTTCCTAGGTAGTATTTACATGACACTTATTCTGTATTCTGAATCAGAGCTTTTGTGTTTATACCTGTATGTTTTCTTGGTGATCTTTAGCCAGGGAAAAACAGGAGTTCCTATTAGTGCATGGGGGCTTCAGAAAATTGAGGGTTTGGGATATTACTATGAATACGATCCTGTAGTCAGCGTCTGAACCCTGAATCTCTCCATATGCACTTTAGGCCAATAGGCAGACCCAGAGTACAGCCAGGAGAAGACGCTCATCAGGGCAACCACCTGCCATTCACATGTACCACCTACTCCAGGTTGACCCTTCACAGCTTGTGCCAAACCTAAAGACACCACTCTACTTTGCTCTGAAAATCTTTATCTGTCCGTATCAGTGGCCTGGGTTTGGTGGGATGCAGGGCACACTGTAGAATATGCACCTTTGGAAGCCGAATACGCCAGGCGGGAAGTCTGTTGCCTAGGATATTGTTAAAGACCCTAGGAAAGATTTATTTTCTAATCAAATGTGTCGTGATTCTGCAAGAGGGATGGTTTCCCATTCATTGGTATCTGCTCTCTGAAGCTTCCTAGTTCCTCTGCTCGCAGACACCAACATCACTCACCCTCGAGGAGAATTGCCCCTTACCTTCCTGCGTCATCTCTTTCTCCTGGCCATCTTCTTCAGACTGGAGACACGAAACCCATGCAGCTGTGTGTGGAGAAAATTTCTCAGAGGTGCAAGACTTGACATTTGAAAAGTCCTGCTCAGGCGAGTCTCGGAGTGGTCCCCACCACCAGGGTGGAGATGGTTACTTGAATTCTCCTCTCTCAGTTCTTCTGAACCCCTGGATGTCAGGGTGGCATAAGACAGAAAGCTACCAGACAACTGTGCCGTGGCTGCTCCCTGCCTATTTCCTCTTGCCAAAGGCTGTAGGGATGAGTTCTCCTAAGTCAGAAGTGCTAGGTGGACATATGAATCCCTACCTCCCACATCTGCTCGCTCTCCTGGGGGAACAAAATTTCACCCCACCTGGGAAAGCCAAAATCTGGGAGGACGACAGGACATCTACAGAGGAAAGACGCATAGGCAGCTGCGGCATGTTGAAAGTCCATTTTCTGCAGACGAACAGATGCTCCAAAATTCTCTCTGTTTTCCCCAGCGGGGTCTCCTCTCCAGTAGGAATGAAGGATACTCTGGAGAACAGGAGCCACAGCAGCTCTGAAAGCTGAGAGATGCTGTGCTCTCTTGCTTGGTGAACGCATTGGCAAAAGCATATCATTTTTCCCCTCCTGGTTTAATTCTAATGTCATTAACCAAGAGAAGAGCCCACTTTTATCCACCGCTAAGAAAGTTATGTTTTTCAGAAATCTGTCCTTTGAAAATGTAATGGATCATCTCCGTCCTGCCCGGCCTTTGTGGCTCTATAGCAACAGATTAGGAGCTCTTAATCTGATATCCCCAGATAATTTCTGAAAGCTTTGAACCTCCAAAATCGCCTTTAAAAAGCTCTTAACCTTTGTGTATGTCCGTGTTGTGGGGAATAATGTGCCTCTGTATTACATCAAGATCTCAAAGGACCATGTAATAACAAAGAGCTATTTTTCTAAAGAGTCACCAAATTTGCAGCCCTTCCACTGCCGGTCGGGGTCATGTCTTACAGTGAAACCCTGGGGTCTGTAGCATGTTCCAGTGGTATCCCTTCTTTCCTGACTCCAGTCCTGCCACTCACTCCCTTCTTGGTCACATAATCGAGTTTTTCTCAAACACAGCTTTGATTTGAACCGCTTTCATCTTTCTGTCTCTGATGAAAAGCTCACTCAGCACATTCACTGTCCACTCTTCTAGAGGGCAAAACTTCAAAGGGGTCACAAGACAGCGCGCATGTGGATGCAATTTCTTGAGCCCCCTCTCATCTCCCATGCATACAGCAAGGCAGAGTCTGTCCTCTGGGCTTCCTGCTGCCCCCGCCCCGGGCCCCACAGAAACACATCAGAGAGAAAGGCATGCACCTCGTAGCTTGGACAGGCTCTGGTCTGCTTCACCTCTTATGCTTAGGTATTTATTTCAGGGCAGAAGGCCTTGGAGAAGCGGTCCCATTGCACAACTAAAGAGAACTATTTGGGGGAATTTGAGTCTGAAATCACCAGTAAAAAGTGTGAATCTGTCTGGTTTATGCTTCTGTTGATAATCTTCCCTAGTGCTGCTGACCCAGGATGACGGATGGAGACACCCTCTTTAGCCTGACCTAAATATCTTCTGAATCGTACCTCAGCACCCCGCACACGGATGGCCTCGGGGGGCATTGGGCAGATTCCAACATGAGGAGGAGAAAAAAGGCTTTTGCTGGGCAAGTGATCCTGGTGCTGGTGAAACTGGTTTTGCCCGTTGATTATGGCGGTCTATGGCGGTCATTCTCCTCCTGAGCTGCCCAGCCCACCCCAGATGCATTCTCTGCCCTTCTCGGCTGCTCTCATGCATCCGGCAGGACCTGGTGCGCAGTTGGACTCTATCCACAGGAGACACCAAAAGGGGGTCAGACATCAGGAAGAGAGTCAGAGTGTCTGTGTCCCTGTCCCGCCGTCTCTGGGAGCAGCTGCACCCTCCGCAGTCACAGCGCCCCCTACAGCCCTTCCTCTGGGGTCAGTTTTCACCGGGTTTTTTGTAACCGTCCCTCCTCCTCCAGCTTCTTTAAGCACTGAGGGCTGTAGACTTCACACAGCGGCTGGTCTCTGCATGGTGCATTGTTCTGAGCCTATTACTGTAGTACTGCCCACATTTCCCTTGACAGCCCTTTTGTTAAAATTCTTTACTTCTTCCTTTACTTATTCTTCCTTCCACCCCACTACTACTACAATCCTCCTCCTCCTCCTCCTCCTCCTCCTCCTCCTCCTCCTCCTCCTCCTCTTCTTCTCCTCCCCTCCCTCCCTCCTTCTCTCATATTTGGGGCTGGGGATTGAACTTCATGCATGAAAAGCTATACTCCCAGCCCTGAGTTCCTCCTTTTAACTAAGGTGGATTCTCTTTCCAGCCTGATACAAGAACTCTCTTCCGAAATTTCTTCTTAAACTTTGGAGTGTAAGAAGACAGACCTGGTGTCTCCCATTCCTGTGTGTGTTGAGGTCCTTGAGACCACTGTACTGCTAAAACCTCAAGTAGCCATAGGGTGGTAGGACTGCTTCCTTCCTAGGTGTATCTGGCTGAAACATTTCATGAAGACAGGTGACTTGGGTTGAGCAGAATTTATATCTTTCTGGGGCCCCCGGACAATACATAATGCCATCTTGCACCATCCTAATCCCATCACCATCTCTAACAGATTCCTATTTCATGTGGTCTGGCTGGAGCTCTGCAGAACAGCATCAGTGTTGGCATGGTGTCATGATATTAAAGACAGCATTAAAAAAAAATGTGCATCTTAAGTAGCAAAAAGAAGGTTTCTTTTTGGAAGAGCCCAAGCAAGTGTTTTGACTCTCAGCAAGTCCAGAACTGAGCATTTGCAGACAGAGCTGAAAGAAGTAGGAAGCGTATCTACAGCATGAAGATATCTAGCCTTTTAAGAAGCACTTTTATCAATACACACACATCTGAGCGACTCTGTCAAGGAGAAGAATATTCACTTTCTCAGCACTCATGGAGTTGGGGTGGGGACAAAGCTAGCTACTTCCTTTTTTTTCTTTTTGATGAAATCCCTGCTGAACTACAAACCCCAGCTTCATCCAGACAGACAGCCGCTCTGCAGACCCGAGCTGCCCCTGACAGTATCTGGGAGAACATCTTGCCTCCAGCCTCATGCTGCTGTGGCTACAGCTTCTGGTCCTCGGTGAGTAGGCTGCTAGAGCAGGACCAGGTTGGACCCAGGGGAGAACTCTCTGTTCTGGGGCACCCCGACTCTCTCTGATGCAATGAGTAGGAATGGATTTCAGGCTCTGACTCAGTACTAGCAGACATCATGCAACTAGGTATTAAGAAAAGCAGGGTTCCCAGGAAGTCAAAAGGACCTTGCATCCCTTTACCAAATACCAAATACATCRTTTCTGCTTTGATCTCTAGGGAAATTGGAAGGCTTCTTTCAAAGAACTACAAAGGGATTTTCTATTGGGGTGAATTCCATTTCCAGCCCACATGGATCCTACCTTCCCCGATCCCCACTCCCACTCCATGCTATCACATTTTGGGCTAAGTTCTCACCTCCCTGAACTTTTGGAGAGGTTTCATGTCTTGCTGATCATAGATGAGATGATGGCTTTTGTTGTAAATACGGCCCACATAGAGACATGAACACGGAACTAGGTCCACAATTGGGATGGAGGGAGAAGTGGTGTCGATGAATATGAAAGGCACCCCCTTTTCCTGTGTGACCCTTCCTGGGCTCCGTGTGACTCCCAGGTAGGCAACGTGTCCCAGACAAAGTAGTCAGGAAACAAAAAAAGATAGGAGGGAAGCAATAAATATTGAGACTTCTGAGGATGTAACCAACAAAATGACAAGCTTCTGGTCACGGGTACAGACAGTGCTTATGAACTGGGATAGTAAAATGAATATTGGGTTCCAAGGGGTATGGTTTGTGGGTTGGGGGAGGAGGAAAAAGAAATAGGTGGAATGAGAGAGGGGTGTAAGGGAAGGAAGCGGGGAAGGGAGAGACAGAAGGAAAGAGTGAGATCATGGGGAAGTGCTCAGAGGGTTGTAGCTTTTTTAAAAGTGTGAGGACCTCGGTGATCTGCAGTGATCTCTCCGACTCTGTTCCCCCACAGCTCCTGCTGGTGTCCAGTCCGGTGAGTGACTCTTCTCTTTTTTTCTGAGATCTCTGGGAATTAGATTCACTCTACCAGGCCTGGGAGGGATGGCCTGTCCTAGCCTCTTAGCTGAGGGTTGCAGGGATCTGGACCAAGACTAGGGTCGAGAGAAGGAGGATGCAGAGCCGCCCTCTCCTCCCCCTCGTCCAGCGACAGCAGGACCCTCCAATGCCACATTCATCTCTGCTTGGCTGCCTCCTTCCTCCATGGGCAAGAAGACCCTGCCCTGAGTTTGTCAAAGTAACACATGATTTCCCCTTTCCTGTTGAGCCAGGAGATAGGAAAGAAGGTCACTGTGAAGGGAGAGCAAAGCACGCACTGTGTGGTTGGGAAAACTTCTTCCTGGTTCCGGCTGCAGGGGCTCAAAGTTCCCACCAGAATCCCTGGAAACAGAGAGGGGAAGCATATTTATAAGGGGATAGAAATAAGGGGTCAAGGAGGTTTTCTGCAGAAAACAAGAATGCCCCTGCATCTTCTAATTGGATGGTAAACTCTTCCATGCCTAACCTGATTTTCCTTAGAATTCTAATACAGTGACATGAAGAGGAAAAAGTCTGGTTTCATATGAGACTGGTAAAGCACATTTTCTTCTTTATTCATGCCTTTGAGAAGACATCCATCCTCTAATAAGAAGCGGGGTGAGGCTTGTGTAGCGAGGCTTGTGACTTTAAGCAAGAAGGTCCTTAAATTTGTCTCTGGAGCAGCCTCGTGGGTTCCAACAAATTCCCTGAAATTATGATAAAATGTGTATATATGTTCAGTTGTGCCCGCATCTAGGGGATGGGTCTGTAGGTAAAATGTCAAAACTTAATGACCAATAACCAGGTATCTTACGGTTAGATACTGACTGCAGTTCAGGAAAACCTGGTTTTAGCATTTCCCCCTGTCTCTTGCCCTATCATTATTACCAACTTGGTCACATAAATATCACTCCTTAAATATTTCTTTAATCAAACTGATTACATCTCTATCCTCATCACTGAAAAATCTTTCCCACTGTCAATTTGGAGGAAGAACATATTTGGGCTCCCACACTCTTCTCTCTTTATCGATGCTGTTCGCCTCCCCGCCATCCACTCCCATTCCCTATTCTACTGGCAGAACTTTCAAAGTGGTTAAATGACGAACAGAAGTTGTCCTTGAACTCATTTGATCACTTTGCACTATTCAGAACAAMAAMAAAARAAATTGAACCTGTGTCTTAAATATATTAAATAGATACATGGAAATAGTGAACCTGGTAAAGATGTACAAACCCAGAAAATTTAAAAGAGGAGAAGATCTATCATCTACGATGGAAGTTCAAAGGGCTTTCTCCCCATCTCCTTGTAAGTCTCAGGTTGGAGACTGTGACCTAGACCTCACTGTGAGAGGATCTCTCCTCAGAGACAGGACCCTGGGCAGGGTCCCGCTACCCCTCCTCCGTGACCTCATACCAGAGCACTGAGCTAGGCACACAGCCTGCACAGCACTTGCATGCCCTGTCTCCGCCCTGCAGGGGAATAGCCCAATGTTCAGGTCTGGGATTAGGTGTTTTTACTTTTTTTTATCAGAACAACAAACATTTTCCTTGGACTCCCACGATTCCAAATTGACACTTGAACCCACATTTTTAGTTCTGTTGCCAACTGAAATGTCCCCCCAAAGCCCAGGTCTACAGGGCTGGGTCACAGAACAGCGTGGTGGCTGGCTCTCCTTCCCTTCTTCAGGAAATGGTCCACAGGCTCCTCCGGTCGGTCGTGTCATGCTTTCTTTTCCTGCTCTGGGCAGAGCCAAAGCACCAAAGCTGCTCATTATCTCCCTAATGAGTACTATCTCCCAAGGGGAGACAATGAACGGACAAGTGGAGGGGCCCACTTCCCTTCTCATAGGGAGCATCCAGACCCATTCATGAAAACCATTCTCAGAGTCTCGGAAGACAGCACTGCAGAGGGAACTCGGGAGATTAAAGATGTAGTCCCCGGGCCAGAGTCTCAGTGGCCCGGTTTGCTTCATGCAGGGAGAATATCAGAGAGAAGGCCTCTGGGTTGACGGTACCACTAGACAGAGTCTCCAAGGAATGAAACACGCAGAGAGGGTTGATTATGGCTCCTGTAGGGACCCGCAGTCACCTGGAAGGAGATGCTAGTGGGATCATTTCAAATCCATATTTATTCCAAGTGTTCACTGCTGGGAAGAATGGCATCCAAACCTGTTAACAGATAGAAAACTAGCAAGATGTTTGTTGGACAGACTGCCAGGGAGGTGGAGCTCAACTTTACTTAGCGGGGAGGCTCACAGAGCCAGCAGGTCCCAAGGCAACTGCAGATGCTCAGGCTGACTCACGATAGAGCGCTGTCCCTTCCCCTTATAAGCAGAAGGGAAGGCACCGGGGCAGGGGGCCACCTTGTCACCGGGTACCTTTGCTTCTTTTGTAGGCTGGCTGAGTATCAGCATACCACGCAACGTCTACGAAGGAGACCAGGTGGTTATAAGATGCTCCGGGGAAACAAATGACAGGATACATAGACTCACGTACTACAAGGATGGCTTTCAAATATCCACTTACCATAATGCCACAAGCCACACCATTTCAAATGCCAGGCGCAGCGACAGCGGCTCCTACTTCTGTAAGGCGGAGAGGACATTATTCCCTCCTATCGGTGTGACAGAAGAGACCAGAACTACGTGGCTCGTTGTCCAAGGTGAGGCCCTCACTCTTGGAGTGGATGAACCTGGGAAGGAAGAGGCGTCTGGTGGGAAGAGAACACACACTGGGAGGGAGAAACGGCGGGTGGGCTGAGAGGCCTTGAATCTGGGTGTGGGGTTCTTTGGGGGCCACTGCTCATCAGGAGCTCCACACTCCACAGATAGCGGGGAGTCTCTGTGTCCTCTCTCCCCGCAGAGCTGTTTCCCACCCCTGAGCTGAGAGCCAGACCCCTGCGACCCACGGAGGGCTGCTCGGTGACGCTGTCCTGTAACACCCAGCTGCCTTCGGCGAAGTCCTCCACCCAGCTTCGATACTCCTTCATCCGAGATGGCCACACCCTGAGGTCAGGCTGGACCTCAGCAAGGGTCAAGATCCCAGCGACACAGAAAAAAGACTCAGGGCATTATTGGTGTGAGGCCAGGACGGTGTCTCGTCGTGTCTCCAAGCAGAGCCGCCCATCCTACATAGAAGTGCAGAGTGAGCATGGACGGGCTGGGCCGCCAGGGCGGGGTCAGGCAGGGCTGGGCCGCCAGGGCTGGGCCGCCAAGGCTGGGTCAGGCAGGGAAGAACGGGGCACAGCCTGGACCAGGGGCTCTCTTCTCAGTTGTGCTCCCCAATCCCTGTGGATGAGGGGGCTACCGTGATCTGCCTGGGCTCTTCTCTCACAATCTCTGCAAGGACATCGTTTCCCCGTGACTTTGCTTTACCTGTCAGAGAAGCCGTGATGATAATAATCCCTCTCTGGAGCATTGACCATAAAAGGAGCACTCACCAGCAAACCAAGAAGTGAATAAAAAAATCATGGTGTCTTGTTTGCAAGGAGTGACCCAACTAGGATGCACGTTTAACAGAGCGACGAAGGCCCTAAGTAACAATAATGATTAATAATGAAAGAGATGATTACAACAATCCCCCGCACTTATAAAAAGGATCACTGTACGTTGTGCTCGGTTCTAGGAGAATCTCTCTGATGGTCATAAATATCTGCAACAGGGAAGACTTATGCACATTCACCATGTAGAAGGCACCTTTCAGAGCACTTTAACATTGAGTTATTACAGCAGCCCTACGACACAGTACTGTGATGAGTACCCGTAATGTAGGCACTATTATTATCCCCATTTTGCAAATGAGAAAACTGATGGCCTAGAGTCATTACAAGACTAACCGAAGGGAACCTACAGCTGCAACTTGATCCTGGTGGCTCTGGTACCAAATGTATGCACTTTTAATCCTCTCGCACCACTTTCTACCTAACAATGGCCGAGGAGAGTGTATCAATAAGAGATGTTGCTGGACCGCTTCAAAGCAAGAGGTGCTTTCCATCTGCATCTCATTTAACCTTCATGAGAACTCTGCGAGGTTAGGATGGTTACCCACATGTTTATGTTTGAGAAAAAACRAGGATTGGAGGTCTTGACGTTCCCAGATCATGCGGTGAATGAGTGGCAGAGCTGAACTGTAACTTCCGCCCGCCTGTCTCCCCAGGCTGTGATCTGTCACCACTCCTACTGTCCCCACGCACCAGGAGGTCAGGAGAGAGCATGTCATTTAGACACTGGACATTAGTAAGGATGTGCGATTGTTACTGAGTAGAACATTACGGGGTGGTCCTACATAACGTCCCTCAATATATTATCTCCCCGCTTAAAAAAAAAAAAAAAAAAAAACTCAGGCAAGCGGAGTGGACTCTCCTCTGCCTAAACATTGCATTCGAATATTACTTGCCATAATGCTCCAAAGGTGGTACTGGACTCCACCACTGCCCTGCCTTCCCCACACCTGTCCCTCAGCTGCTGTCTCCTCTTGTGTTCCCGCAGGGGTCCCTGTGTCTCAGGTTTCCATGAAGACCCAGCCCCCAGGGGTCCAGGCAGTGGAGGGGGAGATGCTGGTCCTTGTCTGCTCCGTGGCYAAAGGCACAGGGGTCACCACATTCTCCTGGCACAGAGAGGACACATCGGAGAGTCTGGGGAGGAAGACGCGGTGTTCCCAGAGAGCAGAGCTGGAGATCCTAGTTGTCCGGGGGAGCCWCGGMGGGGGATTCTACTGCACAGCCGACAACAGCTACGGCCCCGTGCAGAGCCGGGTGGTGAACGTCACCGTGAGGGGTGAGGAGCGTTCCTGCCATCAGCCAGCCAGCGGCTCCCGACGGGGGTGGGTTTCCTCCCGCAGCAGAGGGTGCTGTAAAGGGCAGAAAGGTGCACGGGAGGGTCACCGTTGTGAGGGTGRAGGGGGCAGTGCCAGCCGCGGAGGCCCTGGAGGAGGCTGACAAGGTGGTCAGGAGGCAGGCTCCCTGGCGTGCGTGCTCAGGGGCATGCTGCCCAGAAGTCTCCATCCGAGCTCACCTGAGCTCCGTGGGGGAACCGTCTCTGTGCCACCTTGGGAAAGGCTCAGGAGGGAGGGATTCTGGAGGACCCTCCAGTCAGAGTGGGGGGCGCTGTGATTCCCACCTCCTGCCTCTGCAGTTCCAGTGTCACATCCCATCCTCACGGTCGGTGCCCCCGGGACCCGGGCCTTCGTGGGACCTGTGATGGAGCTTCACTGTGAGGACGGGAGAGCGTCTCCCCCGATCCTGTACTGGTTTTATTACGAGGACGTCACCCTGGGGAACAGCTCAGCCCCTTTTGGAGGGGGAGCCTCCTTCAACTTCTCCCTRACTGCAGAACATTCTGGATCCTACTTCTGTAAGGCTGACAACGGCCTGGGAGCCCGGCACAGTGAGCTGATGAAACTCAATGTCAGAGGTAGGAGCAGCAACGAYGTGTGCTCCCCCTTTCCATTGGATTTCTCCTCCCTCCAGTCAATCAGAGGTCGACCAGAAGTCTCTCAGCTCCCCAGGCCCTCCAATGGGTCTTAGCCACATCACTGGTCCAAAGCTTACAAACGCCTACGATCTGTTTCCCTTTCACCTAGATAACAAAATATGTACAAAACAGACAATTTGCATGACACTGTACTGGGGTCAGGTCGGTGTAAGGAGAGGGGTGGGTGAGCATGGAAAAGGGAGGAAGGCATCTCCGGGAAAAAAATCAAGGAAAGACCTTGCACAGCCGGAGCTTCCAGTGAACGATTAGATACAACYAACTCTTGTAAATACCTAARGAAAAAGTGGGAAAACCAGGAGTGGAGCACTTCCTGGGGTTTGAATTTTTACTAGGAATCACCTCATTTATTTGGTGGTGGAGGCTGAACCCAGCTAAGCCTGCACTCTACCGCTGAGCTACCTGCCAGCTCCTTTGCATCCTCATTAGTTTTCTACTTTTAAGGATAGGTTAAGCCTCAGGAGTTTCCACAGTTTCTATGTCCTGCATCGATTTAAAACAATGTTGGAATTATCTGCAACTTAAAGAGTCCTTGGAATTAAACCCAACAACTTTCTAAAGCCTGCTAGATTTTTACCTTCCCTGTTAAATCTTTTTTATTAGTCATTTCAAATTTTCCAACGCTTTAAAACACAAATTAAGCCAGAAGTGATGGTGCCCGCTGTAATCCCACAACTCAACAGGCTGAGGCAGGAGGATCCCAAGTTCGAGGCCAGCCTCCACCACTTAGTAAGGCCCTGAGCCACTTAGCGAAAACTTGTCTCAAAAGAAAAAAAAAAGGTGGGGGGGTGGCTGGGGATGTGGCTCTAGTGGTTTGGCACTCCCGGATTCAATCCCTGGTACCAAAGAAAAGGAGAGGTGGGGGCTGTCGATTCCCAAATGCACCTATAACTTTTCTGTTTGCAGATACTCCTCCCAAAGTCCGCTTGGTGAATGGTCCCCACCGCTGTGCAGGGCGGGTGGAGATGAAAAAGAAAGGTCACTGGGGTACTGTGTGTGACGACGGCTGGGACATGAAGGATGTGGCTGTGGTGTGTCGGGAGCTGGGCTGCGGAGCAGGCAACCACACACCTGCAGGTTTGTTGTACCCACCGGGGGCAGAAGAGGCCCAGCCCGTGCACCTTCAGCAAGCCAAGTGCAACGGGACCGAGAGGACACTGGCCGAATGTGACCAGGACGATAACTTCAACTGTAAACACAAGGAGGATGCAGGGGCTTTGTGTGAAGGTGGGTGATGGCCGATGGGAATCGTGGGCCAACCAGCTTCTGCCATAGGCTCCTCCCACCCACTCGCGATCGCCCCTTGCCCCTTCAAAACACGCACCCACTCCTGCGTGGCGTGGGATCAGGGCCAAACCATCAGGTTTSCCCAGAGTCATAAAGGCCTCCCCTAGGTCTCCGATGATGACTGCCTTTCCGCCATCTTATTCATAACCCAGACCATTCGTACTTTTATCGCCATGGATTGGGGCACAAGGCCCAGAAAATCATTATGAGACCGTGGAGTTACATGGTCTGGGTGATTCCCATCAAGGTGACCCACTTCCTTTGTTCTATGATCTCTTCCCTTCTTCTGAGCTCTCTCCTGAACAAGCCTCTTCATCAAAATCAAGCCCTGGATTCTAGGGGGAGARGATGGGGGTGGGGGGACATGCTGGAAAGACCCCGGGGTCTGCCCACTGAGTCACGCCACCAACCACAAAGGACAAAGCTCATTGAGGGTGAACATAAAATGAGACCCTGACGGTGCCAACACTCCCGTACGGCCAGGGGGACTGCCTCTCCAGTCCCAGCTCCCAGCCTGCAGGGAACCCTACAGGACAGAGGTACAGAAACGGCCTTTCAGAGGTCCTCAGTGAGAAGAAGTTCCACTCTGAGGAACTGGTAAAGGCTGCAGTGAGTTCGGGGAAACGGAGTCAGTCCTGGGCTCTGAAAGGGACCTGGAACGTGGAGTCCACCGTGCAGAGCCTGAAGCCCATCCCCTCACACCAGCCCCAGAAGCAGCCAGCTTCTCTGAGGATCATTCTCCTTGTCATGAAGTGGGGTCAGGTCTAGTCCAACTTCCCCGCCCAGGGTGGGGGGGGGTGGGTAAAATCCACACTCAGAGACGTGGTGTGCAGGACCGAATCTGGAAAGTTCAAATCTGGCTGATTCAGAGCGGTCAGGAGGAGGGAGGAGGTCCGAGGTTGGAGCTGACCTCCGCCATCCTGGGTCTCACTTCTTCTTGGGAGATCCCTGGAGTTCTTTCTGGAAGGTCTGACCTGCATCTCCCCCTCCTGATCCGCTGGTCTCCTGGTCTCCACCGCGGTCTTGCCTAGTCGGGCCTCACGGGCCTGGTTGGTCCCACAGCTCCCGTGGCCTGTGCTGTTCCCTTGGGCAGAGGCCTCAGCCTGAGATGGACAGACAAGGAATAAAAGTGGGGTGGGCTGGGGCCCCAAGTCTGATAGAAACACACACATCAGCCACATTTCTGATCCCCAGAAGGAACTGCTGTTCTGATCCTTCCAAAAGGTTTCTGTAAATWCGTGGCTATATATGAATGAAGACATACTGCCATTGATGGTTCTGCTGACTGCACATTGTTTTATACCCCTTACTAGAGGCAGCACTGTGGATACTGGGGAAGACTCCCTAGARCCAGCACCGAGGTGGACTCAGAGTGCTCGTGAAGCAGGCGCGGTGGTGCAGGCTGTAATCCCAGCGGCTCCGGAGGCTGAGGCAAGAGGATCGCACGTTCAAAGCCAGCCTCGGCAAAAGTGAGGCCCTAAGCAACTCATTGAGACCCTGTCTCCCAGTAAAATACAAAATAGCTGGGGATGTGGCTCAGTGGGAGAGTGCCCTTGAGTTCAATCCCCAGTTCAAAAAAAAAAAAAAAAAAGAAAGTTTCTCTGAGCATGACCCTTGTCATTTGGTGATTTTTTTTTTTTTTTTTTTGGTTCCATGAGCTTCAATGAAATACTTTTTGTTTGACGATTTTTTACTTTCTCTCTCTTTATCTGGGGATTTTTTYCCTCTACTAAGAAAACCAGTTATTCAAAACTGCTGGGATTGTACTTCTGTCTTTCTCCATGTTTAGATCAACTAGTTTGTATGTCTTCAAGAAGTAAAAATTCTACCTTATCGTGTACCTTTCTGAAATGCAGATTCAGGATTTGTAAGGGGGGTCCGGCGGAACGTCGGAGGGAGAGACCACACACAAGAGACTTACTCCATGCAATTGGCAAAAGGGGATTTATTGGGGATCCATTCCANTTTTTCTCAAACTATTCCAAAAAAAGTTAAAGAGGAAGGAAATTTTCCTAACCCATTCTCCAAGGCTGGTGTTATCTGATACAAAAAAACAAGCAAATGTTCCACAACAAAAGAAAACTACAGACCAATATCCCTGATTTTTAAAAAATGCAAAAATTGTCTACAAATAGTCAACAGAACCACTTGGTCACACCATGACCAAGTGTGATTCATCTCAGGGATGCTAGGATGGCTCAACACACACAAGTCAATAACATGATACATCACATCAACAAGTGAAGCACAATAATCATATGATCATTTCAAGAGATGAGAAAATGCATCTTTACAAAATCCAACATCCCCTCATGACAAAGATTCTCAGCAGATGAGGTATAAAAGAAATGTACCCCAGCACACACCAAAGACCACATATGACAACCCTCTCACTGAAAGGAGAAAAGTGGAGTGATTTTCCTTTAAGATCTAGAACAAGACGAGGATGTCCACTTTCACCAATTCAATTCAACATAGTACTGGAAGTCCTAGCCAAAGCAATTAGGCAAGAGAAATACATAAAAGTCATCCAAGCTGGAAATGAAGATGTCAAACTGTCACTTTTGCAGAAGATAATCTTATATATAGAAAATCCTAAAGACTTTACAAAAAATAGAATAAATAAACTCAGTAAAGTTGCAGGATATAAAACAAAGTATACAAAAAMCAGAAGTATTTCTATATGCCATCTGAAATAGAAATCCCTTTAACAATAGTTGCAAAAAAATATGAATAAGTTTAACCAAGGAGGTGAAAGTTCTCTATAATGAAAACTATAAAACATTGATTTAAAAAAAAATGAAGAAGGCATAAGTAAATGGAAATATATCCTGTGTTCATGGATTGGAAGAAGTACTATTGTTAAAATTCCATACTATCCAGAGTAATCTACAGATTTAATGCAATCACTATCAAAATACCAATGATATTATTCACAGAAATAGAAAAAAGAATCCTAAAATTTGTATCTATAATCACAAAAGACCCTGAATGGCCAAAGAAATCTTGAACAAAAAGATCAAAATTGGAAACATCACAATGTATGATTTCAAAATATACTACAAAGCTGTAGTAGTCAACAATWGCATAGGACTGGAATAAAAACAGATGCATAGACCCAGTTAACTGAATAGAGAGCCCAGAAATCACTCTGTACATTTAGTCATCTGAGGAGAATGGAGAGAAGGAGAAAGAAGAAGCCGGAGGAGGAGGAGGACAAGTGTTGATTAGGATCTGAGGAAAGTGGAGCCCTGCRCTCTGTTGATGGTAATGCAGGGCAGCACACTGGGAAACCATATGGGCAGTTCCTCAAAGTTAAACACAGACTTACCATATTGTGCAGAGATTCCATGTCTGGGTATTTATCCAAAAGAATTGGTTAAAAAGGAGGAAATTTTGACATTTGTTCCGTGAATCTCAAAGACACTTCGCTGGGTGAAATAAGCCAGCCACAAAAATACAACCATTGTTTGATTCCACTTGTGTGAAGTACCTCGAGTAGTAAAATTAATGAAGACATGAAGTCTGACATAATAGAGACATAAAGTTGGAAACAAATGGTTTTTTCCACAATATAGCAGCRGGGAGAATGGGGARTTACTATTTAATGGGAATAGAGTTTTAGTTGGGGGAATGGGAAAAGTTCTGGAAATGCATGGTGGGGACGGTCACACAACAGTGCGAATGTACTTACGGCCACGGGACCACGTACTTAATGTGTTAAAATGGTGATGTTGACATTGTGTATATTTTTACCACAATAAAGCGTTTTTATAAAGGGCAATTGAATTAAGTCAATTCACAGAAAAGTGGAGGGGAAAAGAGGAAGGGGAGGGTCACTTCATTACYGCTGGCCAGGGATGGAAGTCCAGATCCCTCACATGGTCTGCACTGATACCAGGGGGCACTGAGGGTCTTTCTGACAGCCAACAGTGATGAAAGCTCCTGCTCCAAGCTCGTCATATTGTGACTGCATCCCTATAAGGAATGGGGTGGTGTCACCACTCGGTAACGAGGGTGGCAGTCTAGGACTTCCACTGTCTTTCCTGGCATGGGTGGGGATGGGGTCACAGYTACCTTCTGTGATGTTTGCCTGGAATAGAGTAGCTATTGTCCTAAAGTGTTCYGTCTTGCTAGGCTGACCCTGTCCTTGCCCTCTGACCAGAGGRCACAGGCTTTTATCTGGACCCATGSTGTTAGAGGTTGCTTGGCTTCYTCRGGTYCCAGTCTAGGATAYRYGAGGCCAAAGGAAAATCCAGGAAGCTCACACAGGGCCATTTTGGGTGATTCTGAAGGGATGTCTGCCTTCTTCTCTTTCTCCTCCCCCTAATATTCAGATAATTCTCTCAGAACTGAGAAATACTGTGTGTGGGACACATTCATCGTCCTTCAATTGGGCAGTACAGTTTGTAGTAACATTCCAGATGACCAGTTCAAATTTTTGCCAATCCCCAAGCAAAATGTAGCTCCACAGTGAGAGAGGTCCCACCCACCCTACTCAGACACCTGGAACTGGTCATTGATTTACCCTCTCAGCTCAAAGTCTGCCCTTTGAGCATTATCCCCAACTTTCTTTCCTTTGAAAAATCTCTTCAAACTCCAAAAGGGACTCCAAACTCACCAAAAGGGAGTTTRTAGATGAATAGTCCTCTCTGGGCATGGYGACCCATGCCTGTAATYCCGGTGGCTTGGGTGGTTCAAAGCCAGCCTTAGCAATGTGGTTAGGCACTCAGCATCTTGGTGAGGTCCTGTCTCAAAAGTTAAAGGAAAAAAAAAAAAAGGGCTGAGGATGTGATTCAGTGATTAAACATCCCTGAACTTAATTCCTGGTTGAAAAAAAAAAAAGTTGAGTAAACTTCAATGTTTAATTCCCAGAGGCCCTGAACTCATCCTTGTAATGGAGTCAGGTCAGATTTTAATGACAGAGGGCACCAAACATG